AGTGAGTTTTGGTCATAATTTTTGAAATGTCCGTATTAGCGGAACGCCTAAAGTGAACGCCGTAAAGCGGGGCCTTCCGAAAATTTTTAAACAATTTTTTAAAAATATTATTATATATACATATATTTTAAATACTTATTTATTATAACATTTTATATTACATATTATATATCTTATATTATAAAATATATTATATACAATATATATATATAAAAAAAATTTAAAAATTAAATATTTTTTTTTACATATATAATATATATCATATATATATATATATACATATATATATAAAATATACATATATATAATATATATACATATAATTTTAAATAAATATTTTTATTATAATAATATTATTAATAATAATTTAAAAATTTTATATATACATTTAATATATAAAACAATTATTATATATACATATATATATATAATACATTATATATATATATACTTAATATATATATACATATATATATATTTTTAAAAATTATTAATAAAATTTATATTATATATATAATATATATATATATAACATATATAATTATATAATATATTTATTATTATATAAAAAATTATATTTTAAAATATATATATAAAATAATATATATATAATATAGGGGTCGTCCTCAAAAGGGGTTTGGAGAGGGGGGTAAAAAGGAGGGTTTGTGGGTAAGGGGCTTGGATTTCCAGCAAGCGGCTTGAGCGTGTTAGATAGGAGTGAATGGAGACGAAGGGTATTTGGGGACCTGACGATCGTTGGAGGTGAGCAGGGTAATATTTAGTAAAGGATTAGGGAAAACCCGGTTTTTTTCAATAGTGGGGACTTGACCCTGGAAAGGGAAGACAATCCCTGCATTTTAAAAGGGGGGGGTTTGGGGATATTGGCAGTTTGGAGGTTTTGTTGTGTACTTTATTTTATGCTTCAGACTGTTTATTCTGAGCACCTCTGCAAAAACAGTGAATAATTGCGAGTGGGGTGAAATGTTGAATGTGATGAAAGTATTTCTTTTTGGGGATTTTTTTTCTTTTTTTGGGTCACCCTGCCTCGGTGGGAGTGGCCGACTTTTGAAATATAAATAAATATATTATAAATATAAATTTATATATAAAAATTTTTAAAAATATTTATATATATATAATATATTTTTAAAAAAAAATGTAATATTAAATATATAAATTATTAATATTATATATATATATAATAATAATTTAAAATATATATAATATTTTAAAATATATAAATATATAAAAATAAAATATAATATTTTAAAAATTAAAAAAAATAATATAAATATATTTATAAAATATATATTATATATATAAAAAATTTAAAAATTATATATAATATAAATATAATATATTATATTAAATATATAAAAATTTATTTATATATATATATTATTTATATATAGTAATAAAATTTATTTATTATTATAAAATTTTTTTTTTTTTTCAACAAGTCGGCTTTTTCCCCCGAGGCGGGGTGCCCAAAAAAAAAAGAAAACCCCCAAAAAAGAAAATGTTTTATCATCATTCAACACTTTCACACACTCGCACTAATCACTGTTTTTTCAGGGGTGCTCAAATACAACGTTTAAAAAGCATATACGTATAAAGATACAAAAATATCCCTCAAACTCCCAAATTCCCAAACCCCCCTTTAAAGTGCAGCATTGTACTTCCCATTTCCAGGATCAAGTCCACATATGAAAAAAAAACCGGTTTCCCTGAATCCCCTTTACTAAATTACCCCGTCACCCCTCCCAAAATTTCAGGTCCCAAAGTGTTGAATATGAAAAAGTATTTCTTTTTGGGGGTTTTCTTTCTTTTTTTGGGTCACCTGCTCGGTGGGGGGAGGCCCCCACTGTTGGAATATATATATAATATAAAATTTTTATATTTATATATATATTTATTTTAATAATTTAATAATTTTTTTATATTTTTTTTTATATATTATTTATTTTTATTATATTAATTTTTATATATATTTAATATATATATAAATTTTTTTATTATATTATATTTATTATTATATTTTTATAATTTTATTTTATAATATATTTTTATATATATTTATATTTATTTTTTAATATATATATATATATAAATATATATATATATAAAATATAAATATATATATATATATTATATATTATGTAGGGATGTTGGAGACGCAACACCCAGGGAGGGGACGCCCCTCCTCCCCAAATGATGTAAAACGGGGCCGTAATTGTTTTTAAAGATGGAGGATTGCTGGTGTTTTTTTTTTTCCTTTTCAAAAACATGCAAGGTTTAGGTTGTCTTTCTTTT